TGGTGTGGGGCTGTTTTACAGGGCTGTTTATTTAGTAACAAGAAAATCTGAACAGCTGCCTTAACTTGGAAGGTGACTTTGGTATTTTCCTTGTTACCTTGGGCTTGCATCTCAACTGATCTTTGTTAAAAATGCTTCTTTGCAGTTTAAATTCCTAATTTCTAGCAACTTATGTCACTGAGGAACTTTTTATTAAAGATTTTGATTACGATTGTTTCTTACTCAGAAGGGAACTCAACATGTAGTACTGTTTTCCTTGTTTGGGTGACTTGTCTGTAAGGGACAACTTCTCTCAGGATAAAAAAGAAATAATTCATTAGTCTTGCACTACATTTGGGAGGTCTTGGGATTAATCCTCAGAAATTGATTCTTACTCCTTTACAGTGCTTAGAAGTTGTAGAAATATAACCATACCTTGAAGAGCCCAGACCGCTCGGTTAGTGAGGTGGTTCTACACTTAAGTTACTCTAATAACCCCCAGGAGTCTTTCTCACATTCCCCCTCCTCTTGTTTTGGTAGACTTAAGATCTTTTGTAATGTCTCCTTGTTTCTCTTTATATTGATTGCTCTGCAGTCTTAAGGAGTTTAAAACTAGATTTTTCTCTGGATAGCTGACAGTGAAAAACATGTTGTGAAATAGCTCCGAACAATCTCCTTGCTGGTAAGTATGTCAGTCAGGCAAAAATCAATGGTTTCTTTGTGGAACGTGCCAGTTGTTGTGATTTGCAAAACTGTGACGCCAAGCTCCAGCCTGTCTTCCCCTGCCCTCCCGCCCCCTCATGTTCTGGCCTTGCTGAGGCTTCAAGTGATGCTACCTTGGGGAGAGCCGTCTGTTTGCTTTTACTTAAGTCAGTATTCAGGGATCCAGGGATCTGCCAAGCATTTGTTTGCTGGGTATTGCTTGCACTGACCCCTGCGTACAGAGCAGCATTTCAAGAAGTAAGATGGATTGCTTTCCACCCGCTTCTTCTTAAGATGTGGTTGTTATACACACCTTGACTGCACATCTGTCCGTTTGCCTTTGTGAAATTGTGGATTCTTGGCTGGCAAGGAGAACGTTTTACCTGGTTTTGTAACAGCGGTGGGTCCTGGGCCGTGGCCCAAGGCAGGATTTTAGGGTAGAATTGTCTGGCTGATAGAACCCACGTACCCAGCGTAGTAAGTATGTACCAAGAATGGGCTTCCAAGGCCTCAAAGAGCAGCGACAGGTAAATAACCCGTCTTCCTTGGAAATATAAGCTGCCTCAGCTTATATTCAGTGGAAAACTGTGTTGCTATTTAATTTCAGTTTGATTTTGACCCTAGACTGGAAGGTGGATAGTCTTATAGTGTCACCTCATCTAGGTGGCAGCTGGAGGAGACCAATTTTTCCTGGCTATCATGAAGGAATTATCCAAAGATGATTCTGAATGCTTTGTTTGGAAAGAGAAAGGGGAAATTTATCGCAATGAGAAATCCACATTTTTAGTCAATTGAAAGCTAGTTTATTTGTTCACGGAAATATTTTCCTTGGAAGTTGCAAAGCATTTTGTAGAAGCTACCGTGGAAACTGCTTGAAGGCTGCTGTTTGAATACTCAAAAATCTTAGCATATATTTTGTCAAAAAATTTACAAGTTCACGGAGGCTTGGACATCTGCTTATGTCATCAAACGCTGCCAATATCAGAATTTGTGCAAAGACCTGCAGATATATGTTAATCAGCATGCAGTGGGCTACTTTGCAGTCTAAAGATGTAAGCAGAAAAGGAGAATGACACACAAACAGAATAACAAAGAAGAAAACTTATCTTAGCCAGGATTTGTGTTGTTGGTTCTTATTTTAGACTCTTTAAAGGCCCCTTTTAATGAGCTATATGGTGAAATCAAATCTGGCTGTCGAAATTTGCAGACAGGAAAATTGGTATTGGTAGAACTGATGAGTATCAAGCTTTAGCAGTCCCGTTAGCAAGGATCTATGATTGGTTTATTGGATTTGGGAAAAAAAAAATAAATGTTTTGCAAATCCAAAACCTCGCTGTCATGAAATTTTACGAGGAAGCCCTGGAAGTTCAAGTTTTTAAACTGAAGATCTTAGTGCTTGACACTTAACAAAATTGTGTCCTGTTTTTGGTAGCGTGGAGAGAGGTTAATTATTGAAAGGTTGTCAAATAGACTAAGTTCTCATTTTAGAGAGAAAGTGGCATAATCAAATGGACTGGAGCAGTTACTCAAATTGAGTCTTTCATTAAAGCAAAATTGGGATAAAAATGAACAGAGCTGAAGGAGATCAAAAGCAGATTTTAGCTTTTGCTCCTGTCTCTTACTGGCAACCTTTCCCATGGGAAATACTGGCATAGTGCAGCATCTTACCTCGCCTTTACGAACTGGCAAACTTTCAGTTTAGCATTTTCCTTTAAGCTGAATCTGGTTGCAGACTTACAGCATTACATAAAAAATATATCTGTTCTCGCTGGCCACGATTAGGAAGCTTTAAAAAGAGAAGCAAGACAATGCTGGGCAAAAAAATAAATGTTTCAAATTTAAAGCAGTATTAAATATGTAGCTGGAAGGAGTTATGTGTTTTTTTGTTTTTTTTTCTACTTCTTATTATTTACTGGGGAGATGATTCCCTATATCAGGTTCCTACTCTGATCAAACTATCTCGGGTTGTTGTTTGGATTAGGAACACGAATGATCCCTTATCGCAGCTCGTTGGTTGAATGCACTTTGCACCAATCTGTTTGTCTCCAGCTTGTTTGACTTTGCAAAAACCATTCGTGACTGAGGCTGAATGAAATCAAGGTCGTTACACGGCAGTGGATGGATTTTCACAAGGAGAGGACGGAAGAACAGAATTCGTAGTGAACCTTTTTATTACTGTAGTGGAGGAAAAGGGAAGGTGGCCACGCGGATTGAGGTTTCTGGGCACCCAACGTGGATGAGAGGGCAAGCTCTGAAGGGCTGCACAAGAATTTGTGAGCCTGACCCCTAGAGAGCTTGCTTCTGACTGGGAGTGGGAAACAAGTTAGCTGTACAGCAGCAACTTCAGGTTTTTTGCAAATAGCCTGTAATCCGTTATGGCTCCGAGATTGAATAGGTGTTTTGTTGGGAAGGTTGTTGAAATGTTTTATTCCTCGTTCCTGTTCAGAGTGGTACCTGCTGCAGCAGCGATACCGTATGTATGATTGTATGAAGTCTGTCACAGAGCCATTAGTTTTATGGGCTTGAGTTCTTCCTCTGGCGTGGTAGGAGAAAAAAGTGCTTTTTATTGCAACAGGAGTTGAATTTGTTATGATAACATTTGAACTCTGCAGATGTTTAAACCAATTACCTGGTAAATAATGCCAACACTCTGTTTTTTCAAACCAAATTGTATTTTATGACTAGCTTCTACTTTGATTTAGTGTATGTTTTAATTAAAGCCATAGAAGCTTTAATTAAAGCTGTGCTCAGGACTGGGAGTGCTGCAAAATGTTTTAAGCGTTTAAACAGTGTCAGCTAGGATTTGAATACGCTGAGACATTTGTGATGTGAATAGGCACACATCATCAAAATAAAAACATTGGACAAATAAATGCTTTTCACTCCAGGGGAGGAGCAAAAAATGCTTCTTAATTGTAATGAATTTGTGAGACTAATTTACAGAGTAATTTTACATCGTTTTCATTCTCTCTGATATGTTCCAGAAGAGAAATCAAAGCAGTGTATAAGTAACTGGTTTGTGTTTGTATTTTCAGGTTCTTCAGCTACAGAAAGTCATTTGGAAATAGAAGGAATGGCAAACTGTCTGCCATATTACGGCGTTTCTGATTTGAAAGAAATTCTGAATGCAATAGTTAACAGAAATGCAAAGGAAGTTTATGAATGTAGGCCTCTCAAAGTGATAAATTACTTGGAGGTAAGACAGAAGTTTGCTTTTGAATATTGGCCACCTAAGCTTTATAATAAGTCCTTAAACAGCTTGAAAATCTTCCTTCGGCTTTTTAATTAATGTAGTTCTGTTCTAAACAGAAGTTACTTTTGAAAAAGAGAATGTCATGTCCTCTCTGAGATGTATGGGTTCTACACTGCTTTGTCCAGCAGACAAATCCAAAACCAGTCGTCCGGTGTGGTAGCGTGCTGAAAGCTGAGGCTCACAAAGTGTTTCTGTATAGGCAGTTTTCAGACTAGGAAGGTGTATCTCCATGTTAGAATACAGAACTGCTGTAAAATTAGTTTACACACTCTAGAAGGCATTGCATCCAGAACAGTCGTCAAAATTTAACTTCTTTATAAATATATCTGTTAAGAAGTTATAAAATGATTTAAGGTAATGGTTTATGAAACGTAGGTGTTAATGGAAGCTTAATTCTCATGTAAACGTCAATGAGATGTGCATCCTGAAAAACAGAAAGTGCACTTAAAGAAGAAGAATTCCTGTGATTGATTCAAAGAAAGGGCAGAGACAGACAAAAGGAAACTTCTTGAGCCAGAAAAGCAAGCTCAAACTGGAATTACGACAGTGAAGTGAAAAAATGAAGCCTCACGTAAGGTGAACCTCATATGTTTCTGCAAATGCGTGTATTTAGCTAACGTGGATAACTGTTAAAGAAAGCACATACTGACATGCAACAGGGTCTTTTAAGTCCATGCTGTCCAGTGCAATGGTGACAAGATCTGCAGGGCACTCTCAGAGAGGAAACCGTGTGTTCTTCACAAGCGGTCAGCGTTAGGAGTTGCCGGCAATACCGTACTTTAGTAAAAGATCCTTTAATTTTGTTTTACAGAAGTTATTAGGCAACAGTTGGAAGTGGAATAATTTTTGTTACTGTACGATATGCAAATAGATAAAACCGCCCATCCAGAGTCAGTAGTGGGTGTGAAGTTTCAGAGACAACTATGTGGTACTAGTTGAAACTAGTAAGTAACAAAAGTCGGTTTCTGTCACTTCTGGTCTAGATGTTTCACCAAACGCTATCCTTAATCCCAGTGCTTAAGACCTCTGTTCAAAACAGTCACCAAAATATATGTTGAGTCTCTTCTTTCTTAAGGATTTGCTAGCACGCTGCCGTGAAGCAGGCTACTTCAGAATGGGACCTAGGCATTTACACAGAATATGTGTGTTATCTTTTCAACACTTACACAAATATTTCCCTGTCTTTTGGGGGCAGTAAGTTTGCAGCTGTCTTAGGAGCAAGTGATGTGGTTGCGTACTGCTGAA